CCCCAAAACCCCAAAACCCCAAAACCCCATGCTATTGGTTTTTAACAAATTATCAAATGATATTTATTTCGATTATTAGATTAAGTCTATTATAGACTAATACTTCTTACTCGGATAAATAGGTCTCTCAATCAGAAATATTGAGCAATGACAGCAAATGCTCCAATTATCATGATGATCACATTTATGACTAAATTTTTGTAGAACTTAAATCTTCTTTACTACTCAGTTGTGCCAATTTAGACTGACTTTTACATTTTATCATTAAGAAAGCGATCACTCACTGAAATCTAAGGACTCTTAGTCATTGAATTCTGAGTTAATAAGAAACTGTTCTGCTTTACTGCCTCACTTAAGATTGGATTCTTTATTTCAAGGTATAATGCTTTTAAATGTGTGATTGTTGGTAAGACATAGATGCAGCCAAGACCTGCAACACTTCCTAAGTATCCAGCAAGTTTGCCTACTTGTGGGTAGAATACTGCCAGAATGAAGGGGGCTATTAGCATGCAAAAGTTTGTTATCAATGTTATTTTTTAGGATCTCTCCTGGTTATTCGAATAGAGTACTAAATAAATCTATTGCCTTTACACTGCAAATATCAAACTCATTGAAGCTAAAAGCTAGCAAAATACGCAGAACCTTATAATAATTGCAAGGATATTCTTAGAGTCAAACATCAAAAGACAATTAGATAGAATTTCTTTATAATGCAAATCTACAGTGAAGTAATGCCCTAAAAAGCCATAGTAGCCAAAGAATCCACATAAAACGTAGGATAAAAAGACCATCAAGTATCCAATGAAAACATCTCTAACATTTTTCTCAGGATTTCTAGCGTTTCTAACAATAGGCAAGGTGATGTTATGCAAATAATAACCTCCCCCAAGTATTCCCATTAACGGCCCAAATTATGAATCAAAGAATTTAATTTCAGTGGATAAAGGGTCTTTGGCATGGGCATCTGAACTGTAGACATAATTTGTATTTGTAAATCCATATATACCGATTCCAATGATGAATATTATAATCAAAGCTACAAAGAATACTCCAAATGTGGCAATTTTAACAAATATACTCAAATTTCTAATTGCAGTTAGGCCAAACAAAACTGCAAATACTATTATGCAAGTGTAAGAATATGAAAACTCTCCAAAATCCATTGCTGTGTCTATTTTTCTATCAGAACCACCCATAGCCAAAAAAATTGGATAGAGATTTTAGGCCAAAAGTTAGAAATAAATAATAATTGGAATGAACAAATTTCCTATGAAAACTATCATGCCTATAACCCATCCAGCTCTAAAAGATATTTATTAAAAAAATGATCTCATTACTTTCCGAAGTACTTCTTTAAAGTTTCAGTATAGTCTGAATCATCACCAGCTACCTTCATCACAAGATAGCAAGTGTAAAAAGAAACTATGAATTGGACAAAAGTAATAACTGCAGATTAATTAACATTTTAAATTAGTATTACTAAGTCCAAGCATAAATCCTGAATTACTATAAGCCCAAGGAATAGTTAGCAGTCCTGTACCTACCATTGAATTCCACACTGAAAATATAGTAGTGAATGATCCTTGCTTCATATTCTTATCAGCTATTTTAACAGGTCATTAAGAAATCTTAAATATTACGAGAATTGAAATTGAACTCCTGAATAACATACATCGTAGGGTCTATTGCATGGACTGGTATTGAAAGAAATTCTTCTTTATTTAAGTGTTGATAGCCAGTTTTAAGAGCTGAATAGTACTTCATTCTATTGTAATCTCTATGGCCTCGAGGACTTAGGATCGGTGGACGGCTATATCATTAATTCGAGACTTGTGCTTACCTTTCACTGTCGGAATCTGGAATTAATGTTGAATTTTAAATTCTATTATTAGAGGCTGTATTGTTTAAAATCGACTAATTATTGGTGATAGTGTCAATAGTCTTTAAGAGATTTTCACCCTCATCTTTCTCTATTACAGATGCCATTAATGATTTTAAAAGGTATTTATAAGTATTAAATTATTTGATTAAGATTATTCTTAGTTCAGAATAAATCTGAAGTATAATTATCGCGGGGTTTTGGGGTTTTGGGGTTTTGGGG